TTGACATCAACGCGTTCGCCAAGCAATACGACCTTGGTCAACCCATAGCCGGTAACTTTTTCGTGGCTCAATGGGATCAGTCTGTAGAGGACTAAATGTGTGCTTGCTAATTGGCATTTAATAAAATGTATTTTATTTAATCGTTCGGTTGTTTATTTAAATTATCTATACTTGCTATTATAGCTGGATGAAATTGATATTCTTGATGGTATCCACTGATAGGATATCTGTTGTCTGTAAGCAAGTACTCAATTAGTGATTCAAGTAATGCATAAAATAGTCACTCGTTTGCTGTCATGTAATGCGAAATGAAATGTGAGATGAATTTAGTTTGAAATTACAAAAACTTTTACAAACAAATCATACATTTCTCATACGATTGGTATGCAAATTATCGATATCATAGAGATTTAAGCTAGTTGAGTAAATTACTTTAACAGTCCAAGAATTTATAAATTTATTTTCTATAATTTAATGAACAAAATAATAAAATTTTAGTCAAAAACAAGTTTGAGTCAAATTCATACAATTAGTTTGTATTACACATAAAAAGTCATTTAATTTTGCTATAAATGACTATCAAAAACTAATTGAATGGTTAGTCTCGGGAATCGGTGGTCAAGTTTGACGATCACTACTATGACTCCTCATTGACACCGGTATTCACAGGCTGTGCGGGGGGTTGGGCTGCCACGGGTTGGCTGTGGGACTGGTATGCGACCCGTTGTTCCAGGATTTTCTTCTCCACGTCTTTAATACTCAACTCTTTCTCATTGATCTTCATATCGATGAAGGCCTGGTTATCAGGTGAGGCCGTCCTGCGAGAGCTCCGCAACGAATATAATTGATTGACGTGTTGTACCAACTCATGCAACAGGGGCTGCGCTCCCGGTGCCAGTGTGTAGTCCAGGAGCTTGGCTTTCACCACATCGTCTCTCACTGCCCGCACGAGCTGTTTCTTCAGGAATCGGTCATTGGATCGGTAGGTTTGACGAGACTGACCGGTGCTATCGCTGCCACTCGCCATAATCATCGACACAAGTATTTAACGTATTTTTATACGTATTCAATCGTTTTATGTTAGGCTCTAATGAAATGTGAGATAACTTTTCCTGCTACTTTTGATATTTAGTTATTTAAATATGACCAGCGTACTTACCAGATACTTTGAATACTTTGATACCACTCCACCCATACACACACACACAAATTACATTTTTTGATTTGAAATAAATAATTGTAGAATTATTGCAATAGAATTTATTTATTTAAATTTTATATAAACATAGCACTTACAACAAAATGGTATAAATTCTTAAGCATTAGAAAAGTTTCATTAGAAAACATGTCATTTTAAGTATTCAATCAATTGTAGTACTCGTAGAAAACATGAAAACATTTCATTTCATTTACTATAAAATATAAAAACTAATTTTCAAATTTAAAAAACTAATTGAATCAATAACCCGGAACCAATGGTCAAAGAACTTTGTGTATGGAATAGGTTTGTTGATCAATATTCCTGATAATCGCTGGAATGGACTCTAAACCGATTTTGACACCCATTTCCCTATACGACAGAAACTTCTCGAGTATATGAGCATTGAATTGAGTCAACTGTGGTTTGAGCTCCGGGATGGACATCCAGGTGCAGTCGTCTATCTCGTACGCGCACTTCTTCACCACCAGTCCACTGCCATCACTTCCATCTGAATCACTGCCGGCTTTGGGCTTCAAATGGCAGACAATGTAGACATCGCTGCAGTCGAAGGCGAACCGATGGATGTGTCGAAAGGCTATCACTGACTGGAACTCGCATTCAATGCCCGTCTCTTCGAGCACTTCCCGGACGGCTGTCTGTCCGAAGTCCTCGCCCTGAATGGCGTAACCGCCCGGAAATTTCCAGATCTGTTGCGGTCCGAAAAAGTGCTTCTCCTTCACCACAAGCACCCGGTCCTTGTCATCGACTACCAGCCCTCCTATCGTGTGATTAAAAGTTTGTACACTTGTTTCGTATGGATTTAGAGTGTGTTTTATATTCAATACCGACGCCGATGTTAGTGTGGGCGTAGTCCGGAATATTCTTGGGCTCATTGGACAGCCATTTATTCATCACCACGTAATCCGGCTTTGAGTGATGGAATACGTAACCAAACTATGGATGTGTTTATGAGATAATAACTGTCAGTAACTCTGCGTTCAAGTCATTCACAAGAATTTGAATGAATGGTAAGACTTGAGACAAAAAGTAGCCATACTTTGACTAATGAGGGGATATATTGCGTTAATTGTAACCCAATTTGAAACCACGAGACCCGGTATTGCTTTTGGATCCATTCCTCCAGAGATTCTGTAAGAAAGACACAAATTCTGTACCCAAATTGCACCACAAATTCTTGTACACAGAATCCGTAAGAATTTAAACCACAGATTCTTGTCACACACTTATCGCATATGATGTATGGCTTAGATTCCGGGTGAATATCAAAACTAATTATCACCAGAAGGTGATAGTTATGGGAAACACCTGATTCAGGGGAACTCCTAATCCAGTGGTAAGTACTACTTACTAAGTAGTGATACATACCTTTGAGCGATGCCTCAAACTCTTGAGCGGATACTATGGTCTCGTGTCCTAACTTAATGTGAAGACCTTTATAGCGGTCCAACTCTCCCGTGAAGATCATGGCTCTCGAGGTCTGTATTAACTGCAAGTATGGACTCAATCGGCGTTTCACTAATGATTGGCACAAATAATGCATAAATTTATTACACTTTTTACGTAAGACTTATTGAAATACAATGAAATCGTACGATAAGTGTTCAGCCATTCACACAATGCTTCAGATTTGTATGAATGATAGGATTGAAGCACTGGTTGTTTGCACTGATTTTGTACTCAATTATGTCCTTCAATGAGGTAAAAGTCTTGAGCAAAAGTACGAAAAGTATACTTTTTAAGTGTAAAGTGTCGATATAACTGTCCCTGAGCCTATACCATTGCTATCGTATGATTTACAAATGTGCACAGGTCATTATATGTATTTATTTATCAATTGTCAATGAGTTAACAATTTTATGACATAACATGGCATTTAAATTCATGTGTTGCGGTGAAACAGTTATCATAAGCCACAGTAGGCATCGACACTGAAATACAATGCAATCGTAAGCTACACTGAGAATTCAGACACGTTTCCCACTTTAACACATAAAACACTACACATTGTATGACAGGTAAGCATACACTGCACTGTAGGCGCACATGTGTTGGCAATGTTTGTGTTGATCACGTGTTTTGTGTTTACGTTTTGAGTACGCGTTACGAGAAACACACCGTCGATGACAACCACTGTATCATCAAATTGAAGCCAATATGTCCATCAAGACACCGACCAATCAGCAGCGGCTCACAAACGTGGCCATTGTCCGCATGAAGAAGTGCGGCCAGAGGTTTGAGATCGCGTGCTATAAGAATAAAGTGGTTTCCTATCGCCAGAAAGTGTAAGACTCCCGATGACTGTGTCCACCAATCGCTGTATTGACGGTTACCACTCATTGATAATTGATTTACTTGTTGACTATAGCGAGACAGACATCGATGAAGTACTGCAGACACCGGTTGTCTTCATGAATGTCTCGAAAGGACAGACGGCTAAGAAGGAGGATCTCGTGAAGGCATTCGGCACCGAAGACCACATGAAGGCCTGTCTTGAGGTACCGGTGCTGTCGACGGACGCAATTGGTCACCATATGATCAGTTGGCGATCACTCGATTACCAACTAATCAATTGCTGACCCATTGGTTACCATCTCTTACTCATTGTATAACTCTTTTACTGTCTTTCTATGGATCAGATCCTTACGAAAGGCGAGCTCCAGATCTCTGAGAAGGAGAGGTCCCACCAGTTGGAGGGCGCGTACAAAGAGATCGCGACCATCATAGCGGACAAGTGCGTGAACCCGGAGACCAAACGGCCCTACACTGTAGGTATGGTCGAGAAGTGTATGAAACAGTTGCACTTCTCGGTGAAGCCCAACCGCAACAGCAAACAACAGGCCATCGAACTGATCCCACAGCTCAAGACTGTGATGCCTATAGAGAGGGCGCAGATGAAGCTCCGGGTCGTCACCCATAAGAAGAATAAGCAGAAACTGAAAGAGTTGGCCACTAGTGTGGAGGTGGAGTCCATGGGCGATGAGGGACTGCTCGAAATGGTAGGGTTTTTATGACTACTAATTGAATGATTGATAAAAATAGCGACAATACCGGTGCGATTAGGCGTTCCCTTTCAAAGCACTTTTATTCAGATTATACTTTAATTTAATACCAAAATATCAGTTTAAAAAGTTGTATATTAAAATTGTTTCGCTTTTTCGACAGGTGTTTATGACAGACCCGGGACACTACCGAACCATCGACCAGTTGGTCAACAGTACACCCAAATCGCAACTACACGTGCTTTTGCTGCAGGAGGTGGAGGAGGGCGAGGGCTCACTCGAGTGAGACGCCGCCGGCGCCCAACCGCACCGCCCAGTACTCGAAGCCCATTGCATTCAAATCTCTGTATAAGTTGTCGATGACATCGGTTTCTGTAAATAACATTAATTTTGTTTTTTAATTATATTAACCGCTCTTTTAGTCCATGAGATATATATAAAGAGGTTTTAAGTGTCCATTGAGTGTACCTTTGAGTGTATTGTATATAATAACAGTACCGCCGCCGCCCGCGCCCGTCAGCTTAGCGGACAGTCCGTAGCGTTTGGCGCAGTCGACGATCTTATCGATGGCCGAGTGGCCGACCCCTAAGCTGTTGAGTAAATGTTGATTCATATCGAAAAGAGTCTGTAAAATGGGTTTATAGTCAAACCAATTGTCGCATTCATTGAATCTAATCGATTACTAACCGCGAAGTCGTCTAAATCCTTGTTCTGTTGGATCAGTTGCCACGCCCTCATCGATATGGCGTCGATCGCCGACCAAATACTGTCGACAATGGCCTGAAATTTGTTGTACTTTTGGCGCGCGATCTCAACCATGGCTTTGGTGTTTCGCGCGACTCTCGTGTTGACCAGAATCACGGGAAATGAGTCCACTTTTGGCAGCTGTTCCACGATCTGCCCGCTCCTGAACAGTAGGGCTCCGCCGTGGGTGCAGATGGAGTTGTCGATACCGGAGGGCCGGCCGTGGAATAGTTTGTCGATCTGAAAGGCCCACTGACTCACGAGTGGCAGCTCTAGCGGTAAACCAAACGCTTTGAAATAAATAACTTTTACTGTTATATTAATACTTTACTATGAAATGAGGTTTTCCTTTTAAAAACAGATTTTAGTTTTGAAAACCAAATGATTAGTTAATAATATCCTTAACTTTTTAACGGAAATAATCGATGAGAGATGGGAACGGAATTAGTAATTAGTATTTACGACAGAATTTTATACAAACTTTTATTTTTAAAACCACTCAATAAACCTAAACAAAAACTTTCATAAGATTTACAAATCTAACCTTTCATTAAGTTATGAATAAATATTGTAATGGATTTAATTTAAATTATAATTTTTGCAAAACACACATATTTGTTAAAAACTTTGTAAAACTGTTTAAAATGATGTGATTATGAGCTAATTTGGTGGCAGTTTTGAATGAAAATGTGTTTTCACACAAAATAAAATTAATAATAACTGAAAATTACTTGTATTTGTCTATTTGTCCAAAAAAGCACTCTCTGGGCCAAATAGTCCTTAAAATTTTACAAGTATTTATGTACACTATAAGTTATGTGTTTATAATACCCTAATAAAGCGTGTTTAGAAATAGTCCGCAAAAATAAATCCATGTTAAGATTTACATAAATTAAAATATATTATATAATTAATTGTTCAAATTGGGAAAGGGATCTCAAGTTTTGTGAACGTATAATATTTCTAAATCTTAGATTCATAGTTTAAATTTGTATGTCTATGTCAAAGTCACATACAAAATATTTTGTGTAATTATGTTTTGATTTGAAAATATTAATTCACTATTTAATCAAGATTTGTATAAACTAGAAATGAATTAATAAATTAGTGGCAATAAAGTGGTGGAAGATATTCTCAAACTTAACAGACATTTAAATTTAATTATAAAAATTGTGATTTTGTGCTAAACAAGTGAATATCCGAGTCATTTACTATAGTGTACTGAATAAAGTTCACTAAATAAGATATTACTCATTATAAGTCATGGTTTTGTTATTAATACAAAAATTAATTCAGTGGTCGCTAATTATGTGCCTAACGATTGTTAACAACATTTTAATCATAATTTTCGGCGACTTCTACAAGAATATCATCGACAAAGTCATCAAGGTATTCACTCAATCGATTAATCAACTAATCTATGATTCAAACAAATGCTAATCTGTTTGAAAACAGTTATTATCTCACGAAACGAGTCACGAAAATCTAATGAACGATACGTTACTTCGTCTGGAGATGACTGAACACAAGTTGACATCACTTCAGAACCAAATGGTGTGCTATCACAAGGAGTTCCTGGAGTTCCGACACCAGGTATCACATGGTGTGGCACCGGGTGCTGGTCCGTCGGTGATCACCAAACCAATGGCCGCCACTATGGGACCAATGGCTGCAAACATATCGAAAATGAGTGCCGAATATCTCCGCAAATCAAAGTATATTTGATTTTAAAATTAATTATTATTTAATTAAAATTTTTTTGTTTTAAACTTTTTTTTAGTGATTCCGGACTCTCGTCGCAAATCTTATGGCATTTACTTAATACTAATCCTTCAGTGGTATAAAATACAACAGAATATTCTGTATATTGTATTCTGTGTTAATCGTTAAACTGATTATCAATAGGACTCGGAGTCTACTGGAAAGGGTCAGTGCGATCGACCCTCACATACGACTGGCCACTGAATCGTGAAGTTTGTTTGAAAAGACTTTTTTACTTAAAGTTTTAGACCAAAGATGTTATGTTTTACGGAAATGAATGTCATTTCCATTCACTACTTATGGCTGTAATTGTGATAATAATCTGACAAACATTTAATTTTGTAAAATAATTCCCATTTTATAATCGTTTAATACAAATAACTTTATTTCGCTTAATTAATTGTATCCAATACTCGGTTCATTTGCCAGATGTTTAAATAAGTGTTTATAAAATGTTTAATAAAAGTAATTAATTTTTAAAATGATACACAACTTACAAAAACTATTCAAATGCCGTGTATATGCTGTACAAAAATGTATGTCTCATAGACATTGACAACACTTTCCTATCATTACATTTACGATCAGCAAACGAAAAGCTTTATTACAATCAATGCGTGAAATTTAATTAAAAAAGTAAATTATTACAGTATCCAGTTCAAATAACAACAACAAACTTAGCATGATGCAAATGTTATGTAACATACCTTACATCATAAATGTCCACAAAATACGACCACTTCTAGCCCCCTAATGCCCCCTACAATACAAACCATGTGTTGACAATTGAAATTAAAACCCATTTATGGGACGCTATTCATGGCGTGCGTGTGATGTAAGGCAAGCGATGATTGCATTTTGCAATTAAAGCCACGTTTTGTGTTACAAATAGACATACAGTTAGTGTTGAAGTAATGCACGAATTAATGAGAATTCAATTCAATCCAAACAGTCATAACATTCAGCGAAAGACATCTGTTGTGGTCATCGCATCGCAACTCCTCAAGACATCCGTCAACGCGTCCGTCGAGCCGTCCCAAGACGTGC